GTATGTATGTATGTATGTATGTATGTATGTATGTATGTATGTATGTATGTATGTATGTATATATGTATGTATGTATGTATGTATGTATGTATGTATGTATGTATGTATGTATGTATGTATGTATCTATGTATGTAAGTATCGCAACTCGCAAAGGAGGAGCTCCGTTCTTTTGCACCATCGAAACTAGCACTTGAAAACATTGAGCAGAGAAAGAAAGGAAATACTCTCTCTAGAGCCCGGTCAATTTGTCGATTATATGATAATTCCTAGTGTTCCAATCTACTCCTCGTAAGAACAAGTCATGCGCGAAGAACACATGGCCAGCTAGCGTGGGTAAATCTTCCCTAGTCGCGCTGGCCGTACGTGCCGCGTATCGCAGAAATACGATGGGTGATTGGAGCGCAAGATATGTCATTCAGATTGGCTGTTGATGAGTATCAGTTCTTTCTAAAACCTCATCTTCCTTGTAAAAATTTTATTGATCAGTGAGAATGGGAAAAAACGGGAAAAAAACAAGAAAAACTGAAGCAATAATCAGAATAAACCAAAAATGCAAGAAACAGACAGCAAGAAAATGTGTTTATCGATTAGTAGGTAGAGGGGTGAATACGGTGATTGCAGTTTGAGCCGCCAGACGGCTAAAAAGATTTTTCAATGCGACATAGCGACCGTAGGTATTCGAGATATTTCGCCACCTCTGAGTCAGTATCACTAGTCGAATCAAGTTTCCAATTCGCGCGGGTGCAAAGGGAGGTTAAGCATTCCGAACTCCATCGACTGACGAACACCTCAACTGAGATCGCGATACGAACTTTGTGAATGCGGCCAAACCTGCTAATGGATCAAGAGGTTAGGCGTGGGACACGACATGGACTTCGTGAATACGATTGGCCCGAGCTACTCTTTTATTATCGAAAGTTCGTTATAGTGTAAGAATGTCACCTTTATGTAGGCATTAGCCTTGACAAATCTTTCAGCTTCGTCTTCCCTCCCGTCTTGGGTCTTTTCAATGTCGTCTGGAAGTAAAAGTAGTTTGCACTCTGAATATGTGCTATTGTTTTTATCCTCATCAGGAGTAGGATGCCTGATGAGACACAGGAAAAGCCGGTATTGTCAAGAGAGAAGAATCCTTTCCACCTGGTCAGATTTTAACGTCCCGTGAACGTGTGATACAATAACCCCTTCCCTCTGATGTACTGTTTTGGTGCGTCGCAAATGTCACGGGATGCGCCTTCGAGTTACTGTATGACACATTCACGGGACTTCAAATCCCATCTTATCTCACCTGCTCGTTGCATCGCTCGAAAATGTGACCATCACTGTAATTTGAAGAGTAGGAATAGCTGAAAAACTCACCTGACATCACTTTAACCGACTTTTGTTTCTGATCAACAAAAAATGAAATGGTAACTCTGAATTGTATCTAGGCATCTTGAGCACGAACACATTTACATGTACCAACGACTCTCAGCGTGCGTGTCCAGTCGTTCTTTTTGATTGGAGCGCCGCAAGCGATAGCGCTTTGATTAGGGTGCCGCGAATATGATCTTTTGCTGACAGTCGATTTATTTCTTCTTGAAATAGATATATGAGGCAAAGAGGCTGATGTAAATGTAGTTGGTGGGACTGCTATAGGAAACTTCGCGTCTTCATAGCTAAAGGTTAGAGCGCAGAGAAGTGCTGTTCTGGACGGTCATTTTGCGAACCTGTAACGGTGTGAGGAAACGATCTTGAGTTTGTGGGATGAATTCTCCCTCATCCCCAATAGGGAGGATCACCGGGTGGGTTGAATGCTGATCTCGCGTAAAAAGTTGAAATGGAGAGAAGACAATAATGACGCGAAAACTTGTAGCGTTTCCCCAACCATATTTCAACTCATTTTGGTTGTGTACGATTATTTTCTGAATTAGTCATTGCGCAAGATATTCGAAAAATACTGGTCATACATAGCAGCACAGAACGGTTGAGATCACTTATAAAAGAGGTAACCTGCTCTCTGGGCCGTTTGCACCGTACGTGAGTATATGATCGACTTTCGATGAATCTTGGCATGATATGAGTCTCGGTATGAAGGTCTCTTTGTAAAGCCTCAGCCAAGTTGATGTAACTATTTTTTCGACCAACGTTTCGGCGTCGCCTTCATCAGGACCTGGAAGCAAAAAAAATATTGAGATTCACCCATATCGAATACCATTTCAGGCTTCAGCTTAGTTCAAGCATAACCTACAATTATCCAAGAGGGTCTCGTAATTCACAACTGGGAACTCACTTTCGAAAATAGAGAAGATTACCTGTGGACCACCTTTCAAACTGATTATTCAATCGTTTCACAGTGGGTGGGCTCCGGCAAACCTGACCCCCAACTTGAAGCCGGTGGCAAATGTAGCACACACAGGGCGAAGAACGAGGAGAGTTCATTTGTTATGGCCTTGTATTCGTCCTTTGGTTCAGTTCAGGGTTTTCAGCGCCGATCCAGAACGCTTCCAATGTTTTGCGCGCGGAGGTCGTGGGCTCCCCGTATCAAAATTCTGATTGAGACTTCAGACTCTACATCTTCGTGGCACTGCCTACGATGGTCTCCGGGGGGATCTCAGGCCTTGATTTCTTCGGATCTCAAGTATTTTTTGGCTTCCAAATTCTGGCGAAGGCGACAACGGCGAAACGTTTGCCGAAGAAAGAGTTACATAATTTTGGCTGAGGCTTTACAAAAACACCTTTACTTCGATACGTGAGACTGATTCAAAAAGGGATACTACTTCGCCGCACGCACCTTCGGACGCACGTAATGCCACATACTCCAGAAACAAATGCCAATGACTGGCATTACATTGAGTGTTGTCACGGACCTCTTCGCGCAAGACCTAGCCTTCCAACGACAAGTTTGGTTATTCTGTAGCCGTGGTATTAATTTGGGGCCGCTTCCCCGTCTTACTCCTTTCAGTGGCCCAATCAATGTTTCCACGTGTTCGTGATGGAACGCTTCTCACCCACAGCCTTACCCCAAGTAAACCCATGATTACCATATACCTTGAGAAATTAGAATCGAACACTCCGCTACATTGTAATTGCAACTTCCCTCAAATTCATTACAAGAAAACGCATTATTTTCAAACTTTATCAGCGATATATATTTACAAAAAATATACATATGTACATGAGATCTCCGGAAGGTTAAAGGCACTTAACAACAAACTGCTTAGGCTTTGACCTTCTTCACTGCTTTCGGCTTGGAGGCCTTCGGCTTTGTGGCCTTGGGCTTGGATGTCTTAGCCGTCGCCTTCTTAGCGGTCTTAGCTTTGGGTGCCTTGGCCTTCTTCGGACTCTTAGCTTTCTTCTCTGCCTTGGGCTTCTTAGCTGCAGCGGCCTTCTTCTTCGGACTCTTAGGCTTCTTAGCACCAGCGGGTTTCTTTGTGACGCTCTGTAAAGCATAACTTTCTATAACCTCCAAACAGATGCAATCATCATGCATTGAATAGAAGTGAGTGGATAATTTAGTACCAACCTTCTTGACGGCAGGAGCAGCGGCTTTCTTCTCTCCGAGTCTGAAACTCCCGGATGCTCCGCTTCCTTTAACCTGCTTCAGGTCTCCCTTCACGACACCTCGTTTAAGGGCCAAACGGAGTTGAGCATTGATCTGAAAGCATGAGATTTACCACCTGTACACTTAAAAACCGAATCATAACTGCAACAACATTATTCGGATAGGTAACGAAAAGTCAAAATCCCACCTTGGTCACATTCTCGCCGAGTTTGTAATGAGCCAGCATGTACTTGAGGATGGCGGCTTTGGACGATCCAGACTTATCCTTGAGTTCAGAAATGGACTTTCGGATCATGGCCGAGTAGGTCGGGTGGGACGCAGCCTTCTTGGCGGTCTTGGGCTTGGAGGCCTTGGCAGGCTTGGGTGAAGCAACAGCTGGAGCAGACATGACGACTTGAGTTGAATTGACAACGAGCTGGAGAGGCTGCGCCGTGGTCGCTTACATAGCGGGCTGGGTTCCCCCGTCGCGCCCCCACTGCGGTTGACAGCGCCGTGGACCTAAACGGCGCGGCGCTGTGTTGACTGTTGCATGGCAAAACATCAACAAAACAACAGTCACTCAACGAAACAAGTTCCAATTTGGTGGTTGGATGTAAAAAACATTTTACTATAAGCTCACAAAATTCCATCGCGAAATTCGCAGCCCAAATGCTTATTAAGCACGCGAAAGTTGGGCGTTGACGTTTCTGTCACATAAGTAGGGACCATTTGGCAAGGGAAATCCGACCAATTCCAAAATCCAGGACTAAAACCTGTGTGTTTCCTTGGAGTACTATTATCCTAGAGTATATACAAGTAAATGGCCGTCTTTAACGACCATCGTGTGGAAGGTGAGCCTGCCTGGAATCGACGCCGCGTAACACAGATAACTATAATGTGGGGCCAAGTTCCGAGATTCAAACAGTATTACTCAACCAATTTCAATCTACAATGTGAGTAGGTCATATCCCTTACAAGTTTTTGAGAAAGGCTTCTAGCTCCATTTACGAATTCGAACTTGCCAACGAATTTGCTGCTGTTTTGCATGGACCCCCATGGCCCGACACTCGACTAGCGCGCACAAACAACACTGGTCCAATAGGACCACAACCGAAACGTGAATCGTGCGATGCTTTCCTTTATGAAACAGGCCAAACAGAGTGAGAGCTCTAATATTTTTTACAACTAATTTGTGTATTTCTGCTTGGCCTTTTTTCGTAGTGATGCCGATATGCAGCGATACAAGAGCTCTTGGTTTTGTTACAAAATGGATGTCAATGAGTCTTGGTTGACTGCTATTTTTATACATCACCGCTGAGGGAGGATCTTCAAAAGCTAGCACGCTTCTTACACGCTACTCCTTGAAATTTCGGTCACAGAAATGCCATGTGCGCGTACTCGGAGTACCACTTAGCTGTGAATGTGTTCTTGTGATGTAGCCCAACTTGTGATACCTTGAAAGACGCCTTCGCTCACCTCGGAAATTCTAGATATATAACTGAAGGGAATATATAGGGAGGGGGAGTGATCACGTTGTGCTCGGAAGCGTAGCTCGAGTCCTGTATAAAGGGGCGAACTGAATGATGAGGTCAATGATGATTTCCCTTCCGTCCTGTTGAATCGGTTGAGTGAACGGGAACTGAACATACAGTGGAAACATATACTCGGTCATTGTTGGCCCCACAGCTTTGTTGGATGGGTCGGAGACATTTCCGTGGACATGACTTTAAAAGCACAGTTCGTGATAATTTTGAGGTACCTGCTTTTATTCGAAAAGCGGAAGTATAGACTGGGGGTAGTTCATTGGTAGTGGAGGAAGCGAGGAAATTTGCCGATTTCGAGAGAAAGAAGATTCCTCAAAAATAGGGAAAATAGAGGTTAGACGAAATTGCCATGACGAAAATAATGTGAAAGGTGTATTCACGAGATTTCAGTTCTTGCAGTTGCACAACGAATTGACTACATCAAGCCAGAACTGTACAGAACTGATTTCCACTCTCGCTATGGTTTATGACAAGTTGTTTGAACATCCCACATGGGTTCCCTTGTGATCTACAATGCCGGTGAAACTCGTCCGAGGGTGCACACGGGCCAATCTTTGGGCTTTATAACTCCCTAACTAGACCATTTTCCGACCTAATAAAGCAAGGTATGCGAGGGCCTCGAATTCACACTGTCGGGGAATCTCAGAAACCATTTTTATCGTGAACTGTGCCTTTAAATCTTCAGCCTAGAGAACAAGCTTTGAAACTCCATAAATTGAAAAATGAAAAGGGACATGTTTGAAGCTTTGATATAAAAGCTTTCAATAAGAAGTAACTTGACCTGAGATGTAGGAGATGTTACAAGGAACTCTGAAGATGAGAAAACTGTGTAGTTTGAAACGTAAGCCATAGCGGTTCAGTAAGCTCTAAGATTCTTAAATACACTGCTTCAAGGTACCCAACTCCGAAGGACGTCCTTCTCGTTGAACCTGAGTGGGTCTCACTGTCTGGGCAGCTTGACCCTCGATTATTTTGACCACGGTGTTGGGGGATTCTGTCACTCGAAATTAGAAGTTAGACTCAATGAGTAAGTTTTGCACAGTACCTTATGTCCTGAACTCGTTAAGCGCCTAAGAAAGTTATTGGGAATATGAATCATAGAAAGTTCAAAACCTCCGATTCCAGTCATCAAATGACACTTCATGAAAAACTATAAAGATCTGATGGCGTTCACCGGTTTTCGCCCGATCACGTCTCTGAGAATTTGCTGAGAGATAAGGGGGTGAAAAATCAGTTGCCGACAAGCTTGTAAGGTGGAGCCGATGTTGGAGGAAGGAACCATCGGAACCGTCTTGAGTCAGGATGGAGTGACAGTGCAACTAAATTTGTTCTTTTAATAACTTTGGAGTTCGAGAAGTAGACTAGAGGGAGTGCGCCTACAGCCGCTCACGAGAGCAACAGTTTTTCTAAATCTCTATGGTCTTTAGTGTTTCATGGAATGACTCACCGAACTGCCAGGGATTTTCGAAGAGACCAGCGCCATATCACCTGAAGAGCTCATCATCAACAGCATCATTTGATTACCAACGAAGTTTCATTTACACATTTTGCCAACAACATGCCGACTTTTTCAGTGCCACTATGTTCCTCATCTACACATATGTATGCCATCCACTTCCACCTCGAGATCTCTCCTTTTCATTACGTATGTGATCTTGTGGATCTGTTCATTTGGAACCAACACCTTGAACATCGGTTCAGTCTTCATTTTGTCATATTGCGTTGTGTTGAAATGTTGCTGGGAAGGAAAAAAAAACAAGGTGCTCACCATCACCACAGAGGTATTCTCGATAAGCATCAATGTTTGTGAACTGGGACCTCACTGAAAATGGCCCGTGGGACGGAGACGGAGTCTTTAAAAATCTTCGAAACCAAGATTCTCTTCGCCCAAAACTAAGGCTTGGTTTAGCGATGTATCAGGAAAAGACGAGTTTTTGAAAAATAATCTGCCGTCGAACAATGAGCCTTTTTTGAGAGAATCATCATACAAAGCCCTCTCTGCCTCTATGTATATGATGATAAGGGTCTTTCCTGGACCTCATGGTGCATTTGATGGATATTATGCTTAAATGAGATCTCGCCGGGTCTGGGAACTTCTCCCTTAACGCGGCGCCGCACACGTCGCACCCGCCGCGTATCGCAGGATTGCGATGGAAGATTGGAGCGCGCGATTTGTGAGGTAGGGAGTCCTTTAATTATTTGAATNGGCTGACCGCTTTCTTCAATTTCAATGCAGCCTTGATCGTCGCTTATATAGGAGGAGTCATTTTAATTAATCAAGTCTAATAAACATGAAAACGAAAAAGAAACAGAAGAAAAGACGATCAAATCCAATAAAAAAGCAAGACAATCAACGAAAAATATTTTGCCGCATGCCGCTAAGGAAAATGTTGCGATCGGGGAGAAGTTCCGTTACCCGATCTCGCCAGTGGAGAAAAGACGTCATTGATCTCCAACATTTCGAAATCGGTGCCAACCACAACAAATAGGCTGTATGCATGGTCAGCCCAACACGACTGCCCCGCACTCTTCCTACCTGGTTCATAACACATAATAGATCATACAATATACAAATCATACATAATTAATCTATGCTAGAAAGTCCTCCCAGCTTTGGATCTGTTTCAATGAGTACTATGTAGATGGTGTGTATTGATGATGCAATAAATTTTACTGTACCGTATGTACTCATTAAAACGGCTCTGCAGCTGGGAAGTCTGGCTTGGAACGATTGAAGGCACAGTTCACGAGAATTTTGAAATACCGTTTTTCAGTCGAAAAGTGGAAGTCTATATTGGGAATAGCTCATCGGTAGTTTAGAAAACGAAAAAAATTCGCCGATTTTGAGGAAAATATGGCTCTTTAAAAGTAGAGAAAATAGAGAGTGTACAAGATTAAAATGATGGAAATAGAATTGAAGAGGTATTCGGACGAGATTCCAGTTTTTGCAATTGAACAAGGAGCTGAGTGCATCAAGCCAGAACTGTGCTAAACTGCCTTTCCCTGTTGCTATGAGTCATAGCAAATTGTTCGAGCCTACTACATGGGTTTCTTTGTGATCGATGATTTCGACAATGCTCGTTCGAGGATACACACAAGACAATCTTTTAGCCTTTATAACGCCCTAACTAGGACGTTTTCTGACGTGTTAGCACAGATATGGTATACGAGAGGGCCTCAATTTCATCCTATGGAGAAATCTCAGAGACCATTTTTATCGTGAACTACGCCTTTAATTATATGAAAGAAGAGCACTGGAACACTGTTGCGGAAACGATTTTGTAAAAAATTTAGTAGGCTAGCCTACGAGTAAGCCATCACAGCCATAACAGTGCGCACGGTCAGGTCTCCCAACTATAGATATACAGTTTTCCAGCACCTGGACTGTATATTTAATGGAAGGTCATTCAGCAATCAGAGGGAGTTGAAAACCAGCTCCTATGTCTTTATCGCTTTTAAGTGTCTGGAGTTACGTTTACCTCAAAGACAGAACCTTATACATCTTGGTGACCGAAATGTGTAAATATGAATGATTTATAGTTCAGTTAACATTTATGTCTTGAGGTGAGACATATCGCTTCAAAGACACTAGTCGATAAGTTTGTATTTATTTCTTTCAGAACGATTTCAGCTTATCATAGCCAGTAGCAACAAAATCAATCAATCTAGCAATACACACGCGGAAGCCCTCCTCCCAATGTACGTGTTGTAAATTGCTTGCTCAAGTCTTGGTGACGTTTCCCTTTATGTCCTAAGCTTATTCCCTTGTTCCATGTTTGTTTTATTTTTCTTATTTATGTTTTGACTATTTCGTAACGTTTAAAAGTACTATCAGTTTATTTTGCAATCGTCTCCACGCATTACAAGGAGCTGGGATCTGCTTTTCTCGGCACAATTCTCCGATAACTGTAGATATGAACAGTATGTGCATAAGTAAATATGAACAGTATGAGTCCAGTAACTGTATGGGAGTGCTAGCATTTTCATTGTGAGAATCGCAAAAAGTATGATGTGAATCAAAGGAAAGTGAGAGTTGGCCGTATGATCTTCGAAGTGAAATAGATCTCGATGTTTGTATCCGAATCATCTACATACATATTTCAGAATATACATATGTATATAAATTGTACGGAATATCGTAGTTTCAAAGATCGGATTCAGCCATCTCATTGGGAGGCTTCGTTGCGATTCCACAGATCTTCTCCCAGTATTCCCTAAACACAGCATTCTTACGACAGATATCAATCTCCATGTTTAGCGATGAAAAGGTCATACCCACAATGCTTCACAGCTGGCCAGCACCATTTCGTGCCAAACATAGCTAAGAGGTGTAAATCTAGCAATTACTATCTATGCTAAATATTCTTTCATTCAAAAACTTTGGTCAATGAGATCCGGACTAGCAGCGCATTTTTTGGTGAGGATCTTGTGATCAGATGAGTAAAAGGTTTCAATTGTCGAAGCTAACTACCCCCCTACGACGGGGAAATTGCGTCAAACACGAGGACAATGGACCCCAATATAGGAGCTGACTCTCGCATGAGAATCCTAAGNCCCCCCCTACGACGGGGAAATTGCGTCAAACACGAGGAAGGAACCCCAATATAAGAGCTGATTCTCGTGTGAGAATTCTAAGAGTCCTTACCATGGCAGGAAGGGATGATATGCGGAAAAGCATCACTCATTCGTCTGACTTCGAAGGGAAGCGCTCAGTGATGTTTTATTGTGGTCAGTTTTGCGTCCTTGAACAAAGCGAAATCTCACCGCCTCCCTTCAAATCCCGTCAAACTTTTACAAAGTAATTGAAAGGAACGAGCAGGAAGGGACGTTATTTTGTCAAAGTAATTGCGCTTTTCGCGATAGGCCTCTTGATATACCTATCACGAGACATATGTGAACATTGCTGTATTTTTCGACAAGTATGTTTGCTTAACACGGTGAGACTTCTTTTAAATTAGTCGATTAGAAAAACGGTCAGCGCTGTCACCACTCAGTTCTGGCTCAGTCAAACACGCTGAACACTACCTCGGTAAGGTAGCATGACGGCAGACGGGAAGCTAAATTTGGCACGAGGATTTCGTGGTTGCATGCATAATTTAGTCACGGTGCCGCTCGATTCCCTCCGCATTACCACCGTATCACACGTTATGGTGGGATTGTGCGAGTTTTCTATGTGCCAATCATCTTGCGGACTGGTTCGGGTGTCCCTGCGCCCATTTTTTATCTAAACTTTAGCATGATTCCCCTCCAGGGAACAACTACATATACAGAGTAGTCCACTATGTAGCACCCTTCTTGACGTTATCAATCTGAGCTTCCACTCGACAATTCCGTTTTTGTTCTGCGCTCTCGCACATCGACTTCCTCCAGAATCGTACTGACGTGTAAACGCTTATGTGAACTATTCACTGCTATCGCTGACCCGCCGATGTTCAAGCCAGATCTTTCACCCTGCCACACGAGTCCGGAAACCAATTAATTGTCAAGCCCCAAGGGACGGAATTCTTGATTCATCTATACAGACGTCGATCAAGGTCGATCGCATGCAATGTGTATTTAATGCGCCACCTGCCATTGCACCACCCCGCCCGTGCGGGACAAGAATTAGCTCACAAGGAAGGTGTAGCATGGGGCGCTTAACAGGTGCCCTTATTGTGATTTTGTTGTCAGGCTTTTGCCGCGTTGGCGCTAAACAAGGTCACGTCGAAAGCTAAAGCTTTTTTAGGTACATAGAGAGCAAGGTCATTCCAGTAGCGCATTCTAAATTCAAATGATTGTTCGGCGGGATTAAATACTCTGCAGTGGTTGCCAGGGTCAACAATGCTTTTGAGAAGCATGAATTGGATGTCTTCCGATAGTCACTGAGCATAACGGTCTTTCTTCGCGCTTTCGCTGTATTACTAAGGATTTAGTTGATAAAGCTAAGTATTCCTTTAGCAGTAAAGCCGAACATTTCGTTCAGCAAAATTGTGGGTTGAACTGGAATGCTATTGTGGTAAGTATCAAAAGCCCCTACAGCATGGCATGAATAGGTGAGTAGAAGTTACATTATTCTCAGCATAGAAGCGTAGCGTTGCTTCACACTGTTCCACTCGACTGGTGTCAGCGTGTCTCTGACTAGACTGATGACTCCGTGGATGAAATCCGGTGTCAATTGTCGGGACATCGCAATGTAGGCCAGCTCCGGTGTTGCGTCATTCGCTCGTACCTCGAAACGACCATTAAAGTAGAGTAAACATCAATGAAGGAACACTGTTAAGACTACGACGTTACCAGATCTACAGCAGGAGAAACAGCATACACAAAGACTTTTTTGATTCTCTCCATCACATTGGCAGCTTCCTCTTCTCCGAGATCCTGAACAAACTTATTATCACCAGGAATGTTCTGTTGTTCATAACTCTTGCTTACCTTAACCAAAGCTTTATAGCTATCGTTTACAGTCTTGAGCTGATCAGAACTTAAATCCGTTATCAGGTAATCATACAAATCTGAAAAGTTGGCAATGAATTTGATATAGTGATCTTTACTATTGTATTTGTTGCTGATCACAAACGCTAAAAACTCATTCTGGAGTTCCTAAGCTGTCATGGAATATGCTGGAGGGGTGGCGTTTGGCTAAGCAGGGGGCAAATGCAGTGCCCGCAGTAGGAGGATTTTAATTTACACGAAAGCTAGCGTCTTTTTCGTTTTTTTGTTCTGAGTTGGTTCGACGCTGATTATTCCTTTGAATTGGATACAACATTGCATTCAGCTCATCAAGCTCTACAATTTAAATAAACTCCCGATTTTGGAGGGATATTATGTTCAACTTTGGAAAGACAGGGCCGGCATCGATAATAGATACCGCACAACCTACCGGCCACATAAAAAATGTAATATTCCTCCGAACGTAAATGTATGCCTTCAATCAAGGCTGCTCCAGAACGAAGCTTTGCTGGTCTCATGTAATTATCTGAAGAAGTAGATGGGCTGAGTTCTGAACTTCTGAACTTCAATAAAAGCAGTTTGACCCAAAATTACCGAAAATTTGAAAAGCGAATTTGCGAGAGCTAAACTTCATCATACTGAAATAATACTGTAATTGGCGGATACTGTAGCTGTCCAAATATTGTCAGAATGTAATTAATGTACAGAGAGTTTCTACATGGCTCCCATAACACTTTTCGGTCTCTCTAAATGCTAGTGACTTTTCGAATGCGACCTTGTCTTTGAGAAGACGAGAGCTCATTATGGAACAATGTCAAAGTTATCAACAGTGTCAATGAAAAATTGACTCTATAGCTCTACGATGGCACAGTCTGCTTAAAGGCTCAGTTCATTATAAAAATGGTTTCTGAGATATCCCCATAGAATGGAATCGAGGCCCCTGCTGATACCATATTGCCGATGTCACGTCGAGAAACGTTCTGCATAGGGCACTGTAACGGGCCAGAGCTTGTGTCGTGTGAATGCCACACCTATAGTGGACGAGTTTCAACGGCTCTGTAGAGTATGCACCCTTCACAAAGGGACCAATGCAGAAAGTTCAAACAACCTGTCATGACCGATAGCAGCAGTGAAAGGCAATTCTGAAAACTTTTGGCTCGAGATAGTCAGCTCCTTGTGCACTTACAACACTTGAAATCTCCTTCAAATACCTCTTCCATGTCATTTTCGCCATGGTATCTCGTACGAACTCTATACTCACTATCTTGGAGAAATTTATTTTCGCAGAATCGGCGAAATTTCTTGCTTTCTTCACCCCAATACACTACTCCCAACCAATACTTCCACTTTCCAATTTAAGAAGGGCATCTCAAAATTATCGTGAACTGTGCCTTTGACACATGAAGCGAATTTCTGGAGTAAAAAGCTTGAATAGATCAAATATGAATTCATATTTAGTGTTTCCGCTCGGTGTTCTGTCAAAGTTTGGCGTCGTTTCAAGAGGGAAGCAATTGGACAAAGTTGTGAAATTCCTTGGCCTCATCCAACTCTGGTTGCTTAGAAAATTGGATTTGTTTCAGAACGGGTAGTCTATGAGTTTTCTCCAGCAGTTACCCCATAGTTCCATTGTGCAGAGTGAAAATTAAACAATACGCTATGAAATCGGAAAACTGCGGTTTTCTAACAGTATGTATATGCCAGACAGTTATACTAATGCGAATGGGAGCAGGTCAATTACTTTGCACCCAAATTCGCTCCGCAATGGAAATCAAATAGCATATTCAGTAAACCATAGTACCCTTTGTTGATCGTATTTTCTTGAAAAGCGCAAGGCTTCAACAGTAAAGGGATCCAAGAAGGTATCAAAAGTTGCGTTGCCAAAATTCAAAAGAGTTTAGATAAGGGAAATCGAGATCGTGTCACTAAAGATACCCTTTGTTGCTTGAGGGCACAGTTCACGATAATTTTGATGTACCCTATAAAAGTCGAAAAGGAACTATGGCTTGGGAATAGTGCATCGGTGATAAAGGAAACGAAAGAACGAAAGAATTCGCCGATTCTGCGAAAAAGGCTCTTCAAAAGAAGAGAAAATAGAGTTTGTATAATGACGGGAATAACATGGAAGCGGTGTTTGGACGAAATTTCCTTTGCTGCAGCTGCGCAAAGAGCTGACTATATCAAGCCGAAACTGTCTAGAATTGCATTTCATTGTCACTATGGGCCATCCCGAGTTGTTTGAACTTCCTACAAGAGTTCCTTTGTGAATGGTGCGGCCTCGATGCCGTTGAAACCCGTCGCGCATACACGCGGGACAATCTTTGAGACATATAACACCCTATCTAGGCTGTTTTCCGACCTTATAGCGCTACATATGGTGTACGAGGGGGCCAGAGATTCAACCAAGCGGAATACCACATAGGCCATCTTCGTCGTGAACTGTGCCTTTGAATGTGTAGGTACCTTAGAAACTAAACTACCTCTACACACTTATGAAGTGTAAAAAGAACGTTGGTTGAGTTCATTCTCGTACTTAGCTATAATAATTGCTCTGATGTACAAGGATCGAAGATCCCCTGATGTTGCCAACCCATAGAAATGTTTTGGCTGCACGCGTGTCGAAAAGGATATAAATGGATTGACAACAACACATGTATGTAGGCTACTGGTGAACGGTAACCGCGACCATCATCTGAAAAGCAGTAGGTGATCTCGACCACCTACTGCTTCTTCAATGGAATTAATGAGATCAGACTAGACCCGTGTAAAAATGATGCTTGAGTGCTTACAGTACGTTTCTTACCTGTCATTATCTCCTCGGTGGTCTTATTCGTATGGATGTCGAAAGCTGTGATGTCGATAGCCTGAAACCGCTTTAGTGATCATTCGCTCTGTTTCATCCCTTGACTTGTGTAACCAATTGATCTGAAGCCATCTCGACTGCTTTCAGCACAATGCAATGGGTTCATGGCATTAATTTCTGTTCAGCAGCTTGAAAGCGAAAATGCTTCTGGGTCACTCTGCTGTCAGCGCCTGCTCCTGCGAACCGTTTCATGTGGAAGCGGCGGTCAGTTTAGTCAGGAAAATGTAACTTTCAACCACCTTTTTAGCTTGAAATCTGAAAATTACAGGACATAGTTTATTAGAAACCGTATAGTCTCTTATGAATTCCGTTCTCCAGAGTTCAGCTGCAAAATGCTCTCCCCACTGTTTCCACCGACCAGCTTTTGCTGTAGTTATTCGATGATGTGGCACAGCCAGTGATCTGTAGAGGAATGATGGAGTGGTAAGCCCTAATCTTCATTGTGCCTTTCCAGCTATCTCATCAGTTGTCGAAGGTGGCATTAGAAATTTGAGCGACGTAGTCATGCCTTGTCAAGGCGCTCCCGAGGGTTACCACTGGTCTTCTATTATATAGAGCATTCCAGGGTACTGGTCTTACCTCGAAATACTCATAAATTCTTTCCCTGAACCATTTTTGGATATTTTCGCAACCAACCTTCGAGATTTGTTGTTCGGTGAGGAAGCCGGTGACAAGGTCGTTCACTTTCTTGATGAGAATTGCCTTCGGTGTGAGTGCAACCTGACCAAGAGCTCCAACGAGCATTGCGAAGATCCACAAGAATTTCATTTTGGGCCTGATTATTTGGTAGATTACCTCATGGATAGCAGGACAAACTGTTTCACGATTGTCATTCAATGAACGAAGAAGAAAATCAATGGGCTTCAAAAATAATGCGAACAAAGGGCGGTAACAATCAATTTGTGTTTTTCCAAATTTTCCGAAGTACTCCCCTCCAAGGAACACAAATTCATACACGACATTCGAATCAATGATCCTTAAAAATATTAAAAGCAAGCTCACGGTAGCGGAAGCATGAAATGGGTAAGGTGGGGGCGGCGGAGATTTCTCACGATTCCATTTCCATCTTTTCGTAAGGTTCGTTGGCCTTAGTGCTCTCACAAAGTAGCGTTGCCGTTGAACTAGAGGTCACTAGTCAGTGGTCATAGCTGCTTACGTTTTCATGGCTCTGCTACCTGTGAGCACGGTCATCCGGTCGGGGGAAGGAATTCTCCACTGCCTACACTTTATGCTTTACCCTACAGTATACTTGCCATTGAATACTTGCCCAAAGATCCTGCTGCATTATGGAAAAATATTCTGCAGATTGCGAATCGAGTCTGCTCATGGTTGTTATTTACAGACAAAACTAGCCTTTACGTGAGGCCTTTGGAATTCTCGGAGCGTTGCATCTCACCTTACTTTCCAATATTCCGTCGGAATAGTCCTTGAACTTTCCTTAATTGAGCGATGAGCTAACGAGAGGCTAGGCATTAAAGAAGCAACAATTTTGCTGTTCCAGTTTATAATTTGTGAAAGGGAAGTTAGGATCATGCTAGAAAGTGATCTGTCACGGGCCAATATGAAGATTTTATTGAATGAACGTGGGCAGCGAGCAGACCGTACAACAGCCAGCAGCTTTAATCTGACCATCAGTGAATGGTGAATATCAGATTCTTGACAAAAGTGTCATAATCAACCAGGCTCCGCATCCCTAGCTTATCCGAATTCGTCCTTTCGGAACATTTGCATGACTATAATGATACAATGAGCGAAATGAGAAAATATGAGGGAAGCACATTTATTTAAGTGTAAAATTTGTCAAATCAGCACGTAACGAGATTAATGCGTTCCAAACAAGAAAAACTCTTCTGGAGGTTGTGATAACGTGACTGAATGCTTAGAAGGAATGTCTAAACTAAATCACTACATACAATGTATGATTTCATGTTTTTGAGAAGACATGGGAAGCCTTCTATAGTGTAGCAAGATGTTACCTGCTTGGTGGAAATGACGGAGCACAACAGCAGGTATGGTTGTAATCTCTCTTTTGAACGAAAAAATACATGGCACGTGAAAAAAGAAGGATTTATTGAGAGCGAATTAGAACCAGGGATGAATGGAGTCAACGTTCTCGACAAGAGGTTTTATAGCGCTTAAATGGAAGGCCGGCTGTTTGCCAGATGACTCCTGTTGACTCCCTATTGTCGCTACGCGATGAAGCGCGACTTCAGAGGCGAGAATTATCACTTCACTTCCCGAGAAAGCCGATTGCAAGCGCCTCGTTGTGCTCACCGCTAGTGAAAAGAATAGTAAAGGGAGCCTCTCAACTAGCGTGACCTCACCAACTGCATTTAGAATTGAAATTGGACTATCCGCACCGCTTTATTAGACCAGGTATTGAAAGCTTCTCCTTCCACTTGTGCCGTTTTACTCCTGCTCATCACTCAATTTCTTCAAGACCTTAGTCTTCTTGCACAGTTTCTTCTGTCAGTAAATAGACACAAAACAATTGTTCGGCTTCAAATAAATTTTTTGGAACAATGCTTTCAGGATAAAACTGATGGAGATAGAAGAAGTCGTGAAAGACGTTGCACCTGACTGTACGTAAATTCTGAACGGCCTCAAATTATTTATTCATGTGAACAGGCAGCGTCTCATTCGCAAACCAAATCTCAAGCGCGGTTTTGCTTGCGTCTTCGACACTCAAGTCATTTTGGGATGCTACTGATCTTGCAGCAAATAGAAATATATAAAAATACAGATCAGTACTGTTCGGAACGGTAGATAATGAAAAGCCAGCAAATTCGGAAATAACATAAAACACTTGTGCCCAAACCTAACTTGTTTCAGAAAAAAGCAAATCACATAATATTGTTCTAAATATAACTAGAGGTACAGAGATATGAAGCACACAATCACTTACATGTTCCCGGGATCGAATACCGGATCCATGCTTCCTTAGGCCAACCAGCTTCGCAACCTTCTGCTGTCGGTTATTTGGCACCAAATTCTTATTGTTAGCTGAAAAACACGGGCTTGTGCATAAGTCCTCGTCGGGAAGCATACTGATTTGAGGAAGGTCCTACAATACGGAATGGGAGTCAAATGTGGGGCGAACCCTAGAATTCCACCGAATCCGGGATGTATCAACGCCAAACACTATACCTTTTCAATAGAGTTGCACAATAGGAATCACCACATAGAACCTTCACTTTCCACTCGGCGCACGACGCAAATAGTCACTGATCACTCTGAGCGTTTGCAGATATCTTTACAACACCGACGAAACGGGTTGCGACTATTTATTTCTTATCCTGTGAAAACGTTCCACCCATGAATAGTAACTTTGTTTGAATCGATGTTGATTCTCTTTGCAAAAACAAATATTTAGGGGAAGCACTCACTTCAAATAGAAATGCTGAAACCGGGATCCTAACAACATCTTATTTAGGATATCTGGCAGGTAGTATGATTACTCTTTATATATTGTTCTCACATTGCAACTCACGAAGGAAGTAGACTAAGGTAAGATATCTCTAAAAGATCAGTTCGAAACTAGAAAGGTGGTCAGGTCCTCTGAAAAGAAGGACGTCTTCTCTTCAGTGGAGAACGGGAGAGCAGCGTCGATTTTTCAGGTTTTGTAAAAGGCTGATTTGTCGGAACGTCAGCCATTCAAGGTTTTGTCAAACTCATGTGAAGATATGTCCACAAAAGATACCTTGTTTGGCTCTCATCAATTGTGACTTTTACTTCTTGAACTCTGCGACCGAGTTTTTCAACAACATCTTAATCGGGTGAGGTCCCGTCCCCGTGCTTTCGCATTCTTCGAGCCTAGAAGGACAGAAGTTTTACAGATGCAGTTTGGCAGCTCTCGTAGATCAAGATCTTAACTCTCTTAAAAATTACTCATGGCCGAGCGCGCTGCGGACGCCATCCCATTTAGCCCCTATCGACAACTGTACAAACCCCTTGACACTGCATTTAATGAGAAGACCCCCCGAAAATCGGTTGCTCCGGTCAGAAGCTGCGCAGTGCTGCCAAGGGTCTAGCTTTAAGATGACTGCCACAAACTTTTCCCTACATATTAGTTTGAGGGGCCTTAGCCATGATCCACAAAGCCTCAAAAGCTCGCTATGCTGCAATTTCGGGTTCAAGTGATAATAGTGACCGCGCGATCTTGAAGCACGTGTTCGTTCCCATGACTTCGCACCCTTCCCCNTCCCCCCCCCCCCCCCCCCCCCCCCCCCCCCACCTTGAAAAGAAACCATTCTGGACTCAAGCATGTCGTCCAAGTGTTCTTTTATCTGTAGGCAGAGGGATCTACTTGTTCCTCTAATACTCTCCTTTTCACACTGAATGCACGACATTCGATGTCATGTAGTTACCTTCCTCTCCATCCGATAGGGCTTGTGAAACACGAAAGAGTTGGGGTGCAGGCGATCATTCGGACGATTTCGGCCGAGTCGTTCTTCAGACTCTTCTTGCTTTTGTCTTTTCTGACTCCGGAGAAGGCGAAAGAGCAGCAACGTTGGTGGAATAAAGCATTGTTTCCAAAAGTCTTGATGTTTGAGGAATGAAAGTCACAACTGTGTCCACAATGATTGAGCAATTACTGTAGTTATTGAAAAACGTCTGAAAGGGCGAAGTGCCGGAGAAGTTTAAAGCTAAGGAATTTGGAGCTGACAGATAGGAGGAATGGCTTGCAGGCAGTGTTTGTTAGGGATCACTTGATGACCGTCACAAAGTTAAATACGAGCAATAGATTCACTCCTGAACACAGGCAAAAATCTCTTTATCGGTCATGTAACAGATATAACAAGCATAAGGAACAATGCAAAATCGTACTCGGATATTAGGGAACTTTCGAGAGATAACCATTGTAATGACTAAATATGAAGTTATTTGAGGATGCATTCTATCACTGAATGCTTCAAAGGACTGTGATCGTGGAACTGGTAAAATCTTTTCCGAGTTCTCCACTTGCAAGTAGTTGCGTAACTTGATTGAGAATTTGTTGCCATTTATATTTGCTCCACCCTGCGATGATCACATTTGAAATCTAAATTGCGAATAATAAATGTGTATACTGATCTTTACATATCACTTTGCCTCTCTTCTGAGGCGTAAATGAAACCATCCCAGATAGGATCGGTCTCAGGAGAAGAATGATCCTGATGTAAAGTAATCCTGATTTAATTCATATTTAGTCGCAATTGGTAAAAATTAATGAGCCACTCGATCCATTTCGAGTTGAACCCAATCAGTTTTGGTTTTGCAAACTTTTACGAAATCCTTCTCGTCTACTAGTCTGAATCCCTCCTATGTAGGGTGAAATCACTAATGATTTAAGAAAAATCACCTCAAGAACTCGTGTAAGCTGAAAATCGCTGAAAAGAAAACCGACTGGTTCTTCTGAAAAGTATGTGTGTTATTGGGGTTGATTGGTACAATGAAAATAGTAGTAGATAGTCATGGTCGAGTAGCGGTCCTAATTGCGATACACAAGAAAAATCGATGATAAGTACCGTTTTTCTACATAATTGACACATATGACTTCTATTTGGTCTACATATAATCTCCTTCCTCCCCACTGGGCTTACTGTAAGAATATCAGAGATTCGAACATTGCGTGCCAGCAGCGTTACTTTCTCCACTTTCCGTTTTTTTCCTCCAAGTATCAATGCGCAGCACACTACAAGAACAGGGGCGCAGAGAGAATGTAAACTCACACAGGATTACCAAAGACCCCAGCAAGAGTTCACCTTGCAAGATCTTCTAGCAGGTTTCGAGAGAGGTTCAAAAGCCAAGGAATCGAAGATCAGATGAGCCCAACATGCTGTTCAAATTTTTGATGAGCATTCCGCCAACGCAAAAACCAATTTCACTTTCCGGATCCCGGAGGAGCACCAGGATTTCAGGCGAGCACACGGCCGAATATCTTCATGATCTTCATGAAAGCTTTTGACGATTGAAATAATTCGCTTGGAACAAATCAAAACACAGCTCCATGTACGGCTTTCTATGGCTATCACCTGCGTGCCTGGTAGTCTCGAACTTAGTGGATTGGTGTAGACGTTTGATCGGATAGTCACAAATTGTTATGATCCTTTCAGGCCCTGAAGAAGGCGATTCCGCCGAAACGTCAGCCTAATAAAGGATATTTACAAACCTCGTGAATAGTTCAAGACAACAATAAGTGCAGTAATCAAAACACAGCGATTCATAATGGCTGACGCCTGAGCATCCCGTCGATCTGTGGGACACGTGGCATTGAGGGCGTTGCATTGAATACACTACATTACCTGATTCGGTATATTAGAGCTTATCAAAACTAAACTTTGTACAATAGGTTAAGTGTCACGGTTGTTGTTCCATGCAGTCGAATGGGTTGCAACTAATTTTCTTCTTACCAATTAGAGCGCTTCTAATATGTGCTCAATTATCAGTTCCTCAATTGTTCACTAGAAAACATTGGTTGTTCCATGAAACTGCCCTCATCTCTCTCAAGGAAATGCAGGAAGGCAGAACTCAGAGAAGCAGTATAAAATAGTTGAAGAAGTGTTTAGAAAGCAGGAACTTACTGTTTCGTTCAACTCCTACGGTTCTCTGCTTACTCATTTTTTCGCTATTCTCACGGGCGAATGATGAAGAAAGTGCTACGTGATGAATGCGAACAAATAGCGTGTGAAGGAAAAGAAAAAATCCATGACAAGGTCGCTTTCCCATATGCTTCGCAAAAGTATGCAGTGCTAGGAAACGAATCGTTTAGATACCTGGAGTGACCAAACATATTCTGTCTCACTGGGTTGCTGAGCGAAGTTGACGCGACGGCGGAAATTCAGCATAGAAACACTTTCTTACTCAGATATTGAGCGACCGAAACTGACACTACCAGTAATTATCGCAAAGCTTCTTCAACGACTAGCAGAAGAAGGAATATCCGCACGAAGGAAAATTCAATGTGCATGCAACTTGCTTTAGCTGGAGCTTTAAAACAGAAAAGTAAAACAGGTGCCACCTCGAGTATTCCACGATAATTGACGAACTCTGTAGGCACTGGCGCTTGATTTGGAGTACAACCGCCTCCTTTGCATATACCGCTTACCGTACCATTGTCTACAAAGCAGTTGTAGCCAGGGCCAACCACATCTGTAATTGACCGTTTCAATGCTCTGTAGTATCCGGAGAGGAGTCCTGAACATTGGGAGCAATGTGATCGAAAGAGGATCGCTCATAATTCAACAACGTTTATTGCAAATTCAAAATAAAATAAAAACACTACGTTTTTCTCTCGAACAGAATTTTTTCTTAAGATCTACATGGTCGAGAGGTACGCTATCATGTATTGAGGCTACAGCTATTGATAATAGAAAATGATTCCACATTCCATGAATCTTTTAGGAAAATTTTGTTCTGACTTATCGCAACCAAAGGCGGACAAGTTCTCACGGCGTGGTTCCAGAACATTGGCAAATTATTGTGTGGGCATTCTGCGCATTCTATATCACACTACGATTTTATATGTGAGTCCAATGCGGAGGCACATCAAAAAACGGCATCGACTGTGGCCAAAAATCTTTTCATGCACTTTTTGGAAATCCCTTGAAAATAGCAGTTTACTCATTTTCCATGACTGTAGCTCTTTTCCAAGTCTACCATATATCTACCATTTAAGATTTATTCCATGTAAATCTGTCAGTATAGGGAAGGGTTGATTGATGAGGGCTCATTGAGGTCAAACGCATCCAGCTCACTCATGTAGGAATCAGCCCATGTTCCGATCCATTACAAAGAAACAATTTAAACGAATGTTCGAATTCTGCTTACCAGTTACGACAACGTCCCTCACGACCTACCATCAATGTTCTTCAGGTTAATACGTTCGTAAATTCTAGTTATATATGTATATATATATATCCTACTATATGTAATTCGCTATGTGTGTCTGTTGGTTAGTCGGTGTGTGTNGTGTGTGTATGTGTGTGTGTGGGTGTGTTTGGCCGGAAATTCGCAACTCCTATTCCTAGAACGTTCAAACGCGGTAGGAGTACAGGTGGCAGAATAGGAACACTCATGGCAGGTAGTAGGAACAGACTCCGTGCGGAGCGTATGCGATAGCAACTTTCGATTGCAAATTCATAGCTCCTGTTTAAGTGGACCTAGAGCGTTGAAGTTTGGTAGGGGTACAGGCGGCAGGATGGGGAACACTCTGGCAGGTAGCAGGATTGGACTCCGTCAACAGGGAGCGGGGCGAGCGCGAAATAACAGTTGAGCGGAAATTTATAACTCCTGTTACCGTTTACCTGAAGAATTCAAATTTGGTAATATCAAAGCTTTTCATATCGAAAGTGGAACCTCGGTATTTTAGTAGGTGATGTAGGATATGACAGGATCGTAGGTACGCGGTGACAGGAACCGATATTAAGTGATAAGTAAAGATAAGGGGCCTAAGAGAGCAAGACACACCTACCGAACAAAATCCTATCGTCTTACGTCTTTGATATTTACGATATAGCTTTAATTGCTCATATGTTTCATTCGATAAGTTGGGATGGTAGAATAGTGTGACATAAGTTAGTGATAAGTGCAGTGATAGAGAACTGTGTGGGGCAGTGCAGTTTGAAGTTCATTACCTGTGCCAGACCTCTTTGTGGTTTTACTGAAGGAATGAAATGCAAATTACTCTATGGTCCTACGATAAGTTGTCAAATTTGCAGAACTCTTCGATTTCCTGAATTTTCTAACCGTAAACCGACTAAACTGTAGTTCAAAAATAACACTTACAGTCAACTCCTTGTGTTGCGTTGATATTGAGGAACACTGTGCTACACTGGATTGGCTGATACGATGACAAGAGGCCTATTTGATTAGTAATTTCATTCTGAGCGGCCACTGAGAGTCCATCGGCTGCTGCTCGTCGTCTGATTTCACTGTGAATCTGGAAACGAGTCCTGTAAGTAGATGTGATATAAGACCAGACGGAAATGAGGGTTTACAGCATTTTTTAGAACAGCCTCGTATGGTTCTTCAAAGGTGGCTGCAAGCAATCGTGGTTCGCTTGAAGTTTAGCACAGTCAACATTTAGGCATTAAGGATTTTACGTGACACTGAGCTCGATCTCGCGCCGTTCAGATGATGAAAAAGTGAAAGAAATAGTTGTATTACAGCCAAATTCCTAAAATCTGCACTGTGAGGCCTCTAGGACATGAGACAAAACGCCTTCATGCTGAAAAAGTATAGTATGAACTATCTGCGGTTCGAACTCATGATCGATACTCGCCTGGGTCAGCCAATCCTTCGATCCCTACGGTCAGTCAGTCGGTACCAGGGTGGGGGGTAAAAGCACCATTATAATAGAGGCCACATACACATTAAAAAAGTACACGATTTTGAGTGGGAGTAGATGAGGGGACGCATTTCGGAAAGGAGGCTGATTGATGCCAAAAACTTATTGTTAGATACTCGATGTGGTTCCCGCCCACATTCCAGCATCGTGATCAACTATCCTTTGATTGCTTCTGGTTGGGCTCGAAAGAGCTCAGGAATTATGGGTTGAGATAATCTTTGACTGGAATGTTTCACAGGTTCCGAGCTAGCGGGAAAGTATTCTATTCTTTGAGCACTTTAAGCTTAAGACGACGCTCGCGATTCAGTGAATTTCAAATTTCAATTCCAGGTTTTTCACAGAAACAATTGGCGAGCAAGTTACGGATTTTATCAAACTAGATCTTTGGAGCTGTCGTCCACTTACATTTAAACAGCTAAGTTTCTCAATTTACAAGACTATTGCAATCAGCATAAAATAGTTTCTTCTTGAGCTGCTGTTAATTCCCTTGTCGTTTCTACAATTGTTGTTTGGCTTAGAGCATCGCTCTTAATCATTTGTTCTCAATTTTTGACTTACTATCACGGAACTTTTTATGACAAGTAGTGCTTTCGCACACCATTTGACATTGAGCATTTGATCTAGTCGAAGTCTTTTACAAGGAAGGTCTTTCAGGACGTGGAACGCTTTTTGGAAAACGTTTTTTGCTTGGTATAAGGGCATGAGCACCGGGTACAGAGCTATGGTCCATTTCCGCTAAATGGCTCTCTTAATGCAAAAAAAAGGAGTGAAAATGAATTTGTCAAAAATTGCCGTTTGAACCCACTAAGCGTCGTTTGTTTCATTCCTGGCGTTGACTGTCCGTACAGTAGAAGGCGCCAAAGGACTGCGCATTGAAAATAACGTGAACGGTAGCCAAAAAAGGAAGCCACATGTTGAAACATGTTGAAATGTGCGAGAAAATTTCATATGTGCTCTTCACTGTTGAGCTTCTGGTAGCGACGGACGGTGTGGTGGATAGCGATGTGGATTAGTTGGGAAGGCTCCCTCCCTGTGAGTCCCGATTCCGACCTTCCCCTGGGCGTCAACCGCGGACTTCTGTGGGAAAACGAATCAGATTCTCTTTCAACTCGTCTTCTTGATGAAAGATCCATGAGCATCGGGCTCGATATTATAAAAAGCTGTCACCCCTGAAGAAGATCATTCAAGCGCCAGATTACTAGATTAATGACTAGATGAAGTGTTTGGGCGATACCCGTTCCCAACATACGATCTCCTAATTCCGCCCTGCTATGAAGGGCTGGCAGGATGCGATCAAGAAGGACATTGCTAAAGTCGAGGTGACTGCAGAAGATACTGATCGTGAGGAGAGAAGGAAATGGAGATGACCAACCAAGAACCCTTCAACGGCGCGAGATCAACGCTATGTTAAAAAACAGTTAATCATCCAAATTAGATGTGCCTTTCATCAGTTTCGAAGGAATTCCAGGAAGTGTAAAGCCTGGAAGCTCCTTTACTGAGAGTGTGTCACACATCAAATTCCAGCAAATTGTAGAAGTTATCACTGATCCTGGTCACGACCATGAGTCAGGCACTCACCTGCTTTGACCCTGGTGCATATGGAGCCAATCTGGAGGTGGCAGCATAAAATGCAAAATTGGCGAAGCCCCGGGGACCCGAATCACCAACCCAGCCTAGTCATCCCAATTCGAAGTCCGCATCGCTATCCGTCGCTATCAGAAGCTCAACAGTGGAGAGCACATATGAAATTTCCCCGTACATTTCAACATGTTTCAACATGTGGCTCCCTTTTTTGGCTACCGTTCACGTTATTTTCAATGCGCAGTCCATTGTCGCCTTCTACTGTACNGGTTAAAACGGCAATTTCTGACAAATTCATTTTCACTCCTTTTCTTGGCATTAAGAAAGCCACTTAGCGGAAATGGACCATAGTTCTGCCCCAGTACTCATGCCCCTATACCATGCAAAAAGCCTTTTTCAAAAGCGTCCCACGCCCTGAAACCCCTTCCTTGTTAGTTCGAACTAGGCAGGAATCCTCATGCATAATGAACGGAATGGTGACGTATGATAGACGAAAGCGCACCGATTCAGTTGGTCCCCACTGGGATTCTCGAGCAGTTAGAGCATGTAAACTTCAAACTGAAGAAACTGATAGGTAACACAATATGGGGCATTATTCCATGCAAACCTCTTGCAAATAGAAATCAGGTGCTTGAAATAAGGTGCGTTTACAGTGAATCCACGAAATTTCATGAGAAGTGACAGGGTCAGATAGAGACAGGAAGAGTGGTCTTGCCAAAGAGAGAATTTCAATAAGGATCAGTACACCGTAGGATCAATGGTTGATCAAATGATTGTAGGTGATAGGTGATGGTGGCAGGAGGCAACCGCCTTGGCAAGTACGAGGGACGAGTGGGCTCGGGAAGATCTGTTTGCTGCGGTCTTGAAGATACCGACGGCATTTTTTCAGACTAGTTCTGTTCGAGGCAGCTCCCAGCAGGTGGCATCCTTTCAAGATATGTGGTTTTCTAATCAAGACTCAAATTTCTCCTTGCCCTGAGGAGAAATTTGAGAAGGCTTGGCCTGTTTGGTGCAACTGGAAGACCCTGAACCAGCGCGTCGTATTCTTTGGTCATCTATGACTTACCAGTCATACCGAGACAAAGCATGTTTCTTTTCTGGAAGAAAGTGTCGCCATGCAAAAAGAAGTCTAGCTAGACGGCTTTTATTCTCATTCCTGTCCCAAATTCCTAATTTTCTAGTCCTGAACTTCTCCTCTGATGCTTCACCAAGCTTGGAAATGAAATGCTTAACAAGGAACTTGTAAAAAGAATTTTTGTTGTAAATAATTTCCTCAAGTTGGTCTGAAACGCATCGAGCTCTACTTCGTCACCTGTTGAGTGTGGATAGTAGCAGTTGACGATAGAGATGGTATTCAGGCGCGCATATCTGGGGAACCAACTTGAGGAAATTATTTACAACGAAAAGTCTTTTTACATGTTCCTTGTTAAGCATTTCATTTGTAGGTGCAGGAAGGCAAAGCGAGGAGACAAGGCTTCGTGAGAAACAAGAAGTTAGACGACAGTCAGGGGCACGACAAATCCAACGCCGCCTACGTGCCAATCTCCGTCTCGTGTAGAGAGGATCCTGTAGTGGTCCGAGCTACAACGCGTGCTGCTAGCCCGAAATCTCGTCGCCCCTCGCAGGTTGCCATACCGTCAGACGCCAGAGACGGCTGAGCCCAGTGTGTGGGGTACCGAAGCTATTTTTGCTGTCTTAACAAGCTTGTTCTCTGGAGTGTCAACACTGCCTTGCCAGGATCAGCGCTGAGTCTTTACCATCAAGGCTATAGCCTCCTCGGATCGGAGGGAGTTGATGCGGCCCACTGTTAGCCCTTCGGATATGCGCAAGTGCCGTTAAACTATTAGTTAAATATATATATACATATTTATATAAATCTTAATAAAAATTGTAATAGAATGTCTCCGCCTCGACAGGCGTATATTTCCCCTAGCCAGCCCTAGGCCTTAGTCCACAACGCAATGATTCAGAAATAACATACCGGGGTTGCTGGGCGCAACCTAAGGCGTGAAGAACGAATTCAACCACGATCTGGGCGGACGGACAGGGAGTAATTAAGCAAGGAAGCCGCCATCCCTCCGATTCCTCGCACATCAGCTCAAGCATGGCTTTGGATGCAAAGCGGCAAGTCGGTCAGGATAAACCTCTGCATGACTGAAGAACATCGGAATATGAATTAGAGCTCGTGATGAACTACCGAAGAATGGAAAAAANGTACCGACAGTTGATGCCAGGAATGAAACAAACGACGCCTAGTAGGTTAAAACGGCAATTTCTGACAAATTCATTTTCACTC